TGTTTTTTACAGCCTGATTTCTGTCTTGATTTCTAACACGCCCCAATCAGAAATTTCATAAATTAGAGGCTTTGATACCATGATAATAATATGATCTATCTTAAACCAATATGTTGAATTAATCCAAAAAGAAGAAAAGAGAAGAGAAGAAGAAGAAGAAGAATAAAAAGACGAAACAACAATATATTGACAACAAGAATTAGAGTTTACAATGAAAATAAATATAGTTTTTATACTACTGTAAGGAAACCTAAAAATAATATGAAACCTTATTTGGAAATTAAATATTATGCTAATAAAATAAATATAAACACATAAAATCAAACAATATTGAGTTGCACTTAACTTCTAACAAAATCTCACCTTGATTATTAAGTTCGCTTTATTTGAAGAACTTGGAATTTGTTTCATATTCGTAACTAGACTTAATCACCTGTCACAATTTGCTCAATTTAGATCCACGTTCAATTAGTTTGACTAAAATAAAAAGATGATAAGCAGCCTAGATTGCCATGCCACTTTTTTCATTATCAAGCTACTTAAATTCAACAACCATATTATGTGTACAATTTTTTTGGCAGATTCTCTGACTGATGCTAAGGTGACACGCACCTCTGCCCTCTAAGCATATGTCAAGCAGCTTGATTCTTGACCAATTTTAATTCTGTGAAATAGTGATGTCCAAGATAATTCAATGTGTATTTATACCCTAAGTCGTTCCTAAGTCCAATTTAAAATTAAATGTTAGATAGCAAATTAATATGAGCACATTGAGTTTGCAATCTTTATTCTTGTATTTATTTCCCAATATTTAGTAAATTAGACAAGATAATTTGAATTCGTATAGGAAAATTTTCAAGCAATTTTAGAAATGGCAAAGTTTTCGTTTAAGCCCGAAAAATAATTGACGAAAACTGTTACAACCTTGTATTAATCAAACAGATGAAACATATGGGGCCAATATCATCACTGGCAATCAATGTATCATATGACATTTTGTACTCGGCATCCCTTGATAGAACAGTAAAAGTTTGGAGACTCTCCGATTTAAAATGCATCGAGACAATCCAAGGACATCCCGAGCCGATCAACGACATTGTGGTGGCGGACGATGGAGTTCTTTATACTGCATCCGATGATGCGGCCGTTAGAGTATGGCGGCGTAACTTTTGTAATGGAGATCATCCCCATTCCCTCACCGTGACCTTGCCAGCAAAAAGTTCTCCGATCAAAACTTTAGCACTAACGGTAGATGGCGGGGTGCTATATGGTGGTTGCACGGATGGCTACGTGCAATATTGGCTTAAAGGGTGGTTGTCCGGCCAGTTGCAATATGGCGGTGCACTTCCGGGGCACACTCATGCTGTGATGTGCTTAGCCAGTGTAGTGAATTATGTTGTGAGTGGCTCGGCTGATGGGACGAGCCGGATTTGGATTCGGGAACAAGATGGTCGACATGCTTGCATTGGCGTGCTTCAAGGTCATAGAGGACCTATAAGGTGTGTGGCCGCCTTTCTTGAACGTGTATCGGAGGATACCGAGGAGGGTTGCACTGTTTGCACGGCTAGTCTCGACGGAGTCCTTAAAGTATGGCGAGTTAGGAGCACAAGTCAAATTCGAGATTCCACCTAGAATGCTCCTGAGTATATTGAGCTTCCTTGATGGTATGATCAAGATTTGTCGAATCTTATAGAAGATATAGATATAAATAAGTAAATTTCTTTCTAAAACTTAAGCTGATGTTGTATACTAATGTCATAGTACATAAAATTCTAAATTCAAATCTCGTTGCAACTTGTAGTCGAATACTTGTTACATGCAGCACTACCTCAAAGAGAGATGTTATTACCTGGCATATTCATTCGCTTTTTTTATATTCACTTTTCTCGTTTTCCTGCAAGAAAGTAAGAAAAAGAAAACTCAAAAACAAGATGTGACAGATTCATAATTACGTGACTTTATGATAGTGCTTGATTGCAAAGACTTAGCATCCGTTTGGTGACCAACTAGTACTATTTATAAATTATATAAATTTGTCCAACGGAGCCTGATAATATTGAGCAATAGAAATTTTCACAGTAGGTATTGAGATATGTTGTCCAATTTTACTGTCTGATTGGCTGTCCAATCATATAATTATGAACATGTCATCAATTTAGCGGGTTAGTGATGAAATTAATGGGGTAAATCTGAGACGATTTGTTGATTATTGACGACTTGCTAATAAATAATTGGTTGGTTAGCCAATTGAACAACATATCTCAACTTCTCAAAATAGAGATGAAATAGTACTTTATGTAAAGAAAATAGTCATTAATTTATAAAAAAGCTCACTAATCGAATTTTGTCATCATCATTAGTTGACGACGTACGGTAAATTACAGTGCAAAAAAATGATAAAGCGCATGAGATTTTATATTATAGTTCTTTATTGGAAGAAGAATTTACAACAAATTTTTACAGATGGTAAACAACAAAATAAGTGAAATTTTCTTTGATCATTTGGTAGAAGGGCTCTCCTATGAGGCAAAAACATACATGATCATCTGGTAATATTCTTGATATCTGTCTTTCTGCGCTTTGAAATGGATGTTCAACTTATGATATATATCGCGAATGATTTGAAAATAGGCCTCGTGGAATTCGGGGCTCCGTCTCAACCCCTTCACTCGAGCCCTGATCGCTATGAGACTCATCATTTTTCAGCAGCAGCCGGATCCAATGACACAGCAGACGGAGAGCCACAAGGATGCCAATGACAATCAAGATCGAAATCAAATAAGATTCGACCGAAGAATTCTTGCACTGAAACAAGAATCCCAGTAGGCAAACCATGGTTAAACACGTACTAATTAAGAAGAGAAATTCCTGCCTTGAACTGATATACTGTGGTCACCTGCTTGAAAAGAATGGAATAGAATTGACGTTTATCAAAGAGAAAGAGGACATGGGAAAAGGAAAAAGGGTCTCTCCTGAGGATAAACTGTTTTGTTTTTAGTTGAAGACTTGCTTTTAGAAATCTACCAGTCCAGTCCACCAGTAGAATCAACAGGAACAACTTTTTAGTTGGAACTATGAACCATGTCAAAAAATTGTTCAAGACTTTCATATTGGATAAATTTCTAGTAATTCCAGACTACGGAGCACTCAGTTTTTCCAACCACTATTTAATTGACATGTATATAAAATAATGGGGATACAGCAATAAAAATAGACCGAGTTTCCATATTCCGAGAGTACTAGAAATTACATGAACTTTCTTTTGCCGAATAAGCTGCAAAAATAGAACTTAATGCCTATGCACGTGCACGGGAT